GGTTCACAGGTCGATGCTCAACCGCTGAGCCACGCTGGCCACGCAGAGTGAACACTGAGTTTGACCTTGTCAAAGACACCATTGCCGTGGGGGCTGCCTGCCACTTGGCTGTGCTCTCCACTATAATCCTACTTTGTTTTCTCCGGGGTGGCAGGCGGAGGCGGCAGAGACATCAAAGACGCGTGTAATGGATCCCAAGTCCTATTGTTAGAGAGTAGAGAGACGGGGCTTGCTGAACAATAGGTGTGAGGCGCTCTGAGCGGATGCGGATGCGAATGCAGGGCTGTCACGGCCAGAATAGTAATTATGCCATCCCCTTGTCCTGGAATGTGACTATAGCAATTGCAACATTTTCTCCCATCATCGAAGCTTGTAATTACAGTGCAGCCACGGGGGTTATGTGCTAACTTCGTCTGTTTTAATCACCTCTTTTCCTCTGAAATGTAATGGTAAAGTCCCACCGTTGTTCCCAAGCTGCCGGTTTGTTTCTTTTCTTTTTCTTTCTTCTTCTTTTTTTTTTTTTTTTTTTGAGTCCACAGACTGTTTGTTAGAGGGTGGAGAAGGGCAGCGGGGAGAGCTGCCCCTTCTAGTGACTGACGACAGGGTTCACATAGACAGCTCTGGACCACATGCTGGTTCTGGCTTACACTTCTGCTTCTGGTCTCTGAGCAGGAAAGAGGCAGGTGCCCGGAAGCCAGTGTGCGGAGGTGGAGGTGGAGGGGAAGCGGCAAAGAGGACTATTGATGGGGAATGAACAAAGCCTCACACCTCTCGCCCCGAGGCAGGAGCCGGCTGAACGGACTAGCCTGGGGCTCTGGGTTCTCCCGGTTTTCTCCCACGGCCTCTGAGGGGCAGGCTGGGCTGCGGGTGGATTGCTGAGCACTGAGAGCCTGTGGTCTAGCAGGCCAGCCTGGCAGCCAGAGGGGAGGCTGGGAGGGGTCTTGCAAGGAGCAAGCCCCACCCCGTGAGGATGCTGCGAGGATGATGCCCAGAGTCTGGAGAGGGTGCCCATAAAGAGGCAGCAACCAGGCAGACACCCACATCTCTTTTATTGGGGGGGGCGCGGGGGGGGCACCGGGAGGAGCAGCCCCAGGCCCTCTCACTGCGCGGCTTGTTCACTGGCACTGCTTCCTGCGTCAGCTCTGGGGGCTGGAGAAGGGCTCGATGCGCAAAGGAAGGCGCCCCCACAGTGGCTGGGGCCGTGGCCTCGCTGTTCGCCTGGTGAAGCCACACTCGCCCAGTGTCCTGCTCTCATCCAGAAGTTGGTCATCCTTGCACAGCCGCTTGAGAATGCCCTCGATGCGTTTCAGCTCCAATAGGGTGCTCGACTCCTTGGCGTCCGTGAAGGTGGAGGTCTTGTGGTGCCGGATCATAAGGAACACGTCCTGGGGGCAGCGGATTGGCATGAACAGGGAACCCGCCCCACTTCCCTATGCCCCCCTCCCCCCAGGCCTGTGGCCTCTGCCGATCCCAGCCCCGCCCCCGTTCGTGTCTTTTAAACTGGGCACTTGTGCCCTAGCCGGTGTGGCTCAGTGGATAGAGCATCAGCCTGCGGACTGAAAGGTCTCAGGTTTGATTCCCGGTCAGGGCACATGGCCGGTTGTGGGCTCGATCCCCAGTGTGGGGCGTGCAGGAGGCAGCCGATCCATGATTCTCTCTCATCATTGATGTTTCTCTCCCTCCCTCTCCCTTCCTCTGAAATCAATCAATCAATCAACTGGTCACCCGTGACCTCCTCAGGTCTTGGTTCCTGTTACACAGGACTCCACTCTCACCCAGAGGAGTGTGGCTAAGCAAACGCACCCGTGATCCTACAACAAGAACGGGAGGCAATCCAAGGACAGTTGGTTTTCTTGGAAGAGAAACTGGCATCAAGGGCAGCACCACCTTTGGAGGTGACAGCATCCCTGGATAAGACCCCCGAGACCAGCAGGGCCCGGCACTGGTAGGAAGGTTGTTAGGGTGTTGCAGACACGGGGCTGCGAGGGTCGCAGATACACGGATGTGAGACAGAACATGGCCCAGCGCCATCCTCCACTGCTGTCCCGAGAGAACCCCATTTCTGAGCCCCCACCTCCCGTGCTTCCGTCCTGGCGCAGTGCCCCCTGGTGGCTGATCTTGGGAAATTAAATGAGTCAGATCCATCTACATCAGTGGTTCTCAACCTTCCTAATGCCGCGACCCTTTAATACAGTTCCTCATGTTGTGGTGACCCCCAATGCCATTGTTACAAATTGAATATCATTAAAGCATAGTGATGAATCTCACAAAAACAATATGTAATTATCTATGTGTTTTCCCATGGCCTTAGGCGACCCCTGTGAAAGGGTCGTTCGACCCCCAAAGGGGTCTCGACCCACAGGTTGAGAACCGCTGATCTACATAGATACTCACAGGCATCTGAACTAGTAAACTGATCCAGGGCCAGGAGGAACAATTATAATGTAGCAAGTCAGCTTCAGACCAGGGGAGGGTGCTGGTGAACCATAAACCGAGGCACACGAAAAATTTTCTTCTTCACACTAAAATATTTTTCAGGAGTTTACTAGTATCTGAGCCCAGCCGGCGTGGCTCAGGGGTTGAGCGTTGACCTACGAACCAGGAGGTCACGGTTCAATTCCTGGTCAGGGCACGTGCCCTGGTTGCGGGCTCGATCCCCAGTGGGGGGCGTGCGGGAGGCAGCCGATCAATGATTCTCTCTCATCGTTGATGTTTCTCTCTCTCTCTCTCTCTCCCTCTCGCCGGCCAAGAGTTTGACATGCTTGCTCTAACTGATTGGAGGCAGCCAATCAGTGATTCCCTCTCATCATTTGTTTCTCTCCCTCTCCTTTCCTCTGAAATCAATAAAAATATATTTAAAAACAGGGGAGGCTGGGACCCTCCTGCTGCCTCCCGTTCTGTTCTGCCAGGTGGTGGGATTGGAGCAGCATCTCTCTCGCGGGAGGCAGATGTCCACCCGTCTCCTTGGGTTTGCACCCAGGCTCTCCCCAGGCTGGGCATGGCCTCGCCGCTGGCTGTGCACACAGCCCGTCCTGTCCTCGGCGGGCCCACTCCCCACACGCACGCTGGGAACTGGCCCCTCACCCTGCGCCTGCCTGTGCCATGTCCCCGCAGGTGTCCCAGGCCGCCGCGGACCTGCTGGCCTACTGCGAGGCCCACGTCCGGGAGGACCCGCTCATCATCCCCGTGCCGGCGTCGGAAAACCCGTTCCGGGAGAAGAAGTTCTTCTGCACCATCCTCTGATGCCCTTGGCCATGCAGCACCTCCTTTTCCGGACCGACCCGTGGGAACCCGCATGCCCGTAACTTTAGGGAGCCCCCTCCCTGCCCTGCCCGTCCCTGCTCAGCCACCCCTCAGAGGAGCCGGTCTCGTCTGTCCTTTGGGTTTCATGATTGTAACGATTCCACTTTTCTTTCCGTTTTCATGTTATTTTCTTAAAACACATTTTTGTTTATGTCAGAGAGGAAGGCAGCTGTCATTGTGTTCCGTTTGTCCAGCATCTGACGCCCCTTCCCGCAGGACGGAATCACCCCTTGCAAGTCCATTGAGTGGGATGCAGTGTCCCCGCCCCTGTGGCTGCCCACATCCCCTCCGCGGTGCACCCCCTTCCAGCACCGACTGGCCGGGTTGTGAAAATCCTCCCAGCTGTGCACGTTGCATTCGCGCACTTTCCCGTACCCGTGTTATACGTCAATAAAAAGGGGGCTTGGTGGCCAGCAGTCAAAGATCCTACTGTTATTTTTTTGTCCTTGTGGCGCTTTGCTAAGCCTTGACTCCTGGGCATTTGCGAGTGTATCTGACACATCCTGAAGTGGGCGGTGCTGGCGATCCAAGGCTGCGTGGGCCTAGCGCAGGCGTTGAGCGCCCCGCAGACAGTGCCCCGGGAAGGGGTGCGGGATGCCAGGCTGTGGAATTCATGTCTTTTGGGAAAACAGCGGGAATCCCACTAGTCAGAGCCTGACATCCCATCCGGTTCCCATTGGTATTCCCTGGAACTGAGGCAGGTGGCATCCACCCCACTCCTCCTGCCTCGAACCCTCAGGAATGGATGGGGGGGGGGGGTGCCACAAACCCCAATTAGCAAACAGCACCTCCGGGTAAGGGGCCCCACCCAAGGCTCCAGCTGGCTCAGCGATGACACCGCCCAGCCCGTAGACAGCGAGGCAAACGGCTTCTTTGACGCGGTGCCCCACGGGGGGTTCTCGGCGCCCTCCCAGGCCTCTGAAGGGGCCTGAGGGTCCTGGGCCGGCGGGGCCGGTCGGCGCTGTACCCCGACTGACACTGACTAGAGAGTTCACCGCAGACTCGCGGTGTCGGGCCGCGTGGGGGGCCCGCAGGACCCCGGCTTCGTACAGCAGGCAGCGTCTGCGCGACTGAAAACTGCGGGCTCTTCTAGCTCCTTAGGCCTTCGCCAGGGCAGAGCTACCTCCGCAGCAAGGGGGTGGGGGGACCCCCAACCTCCAAGGGGGGGAACTCCTCGGCATCTCCTCCTCCAAAGCCTTGGAAGGAGGCGGGGTGGCGAAGAAGGGGGGAATGCGCATGCTCAGTGTAGGACCTCATGCGTCGCCTCCGCGCCCGCCGAGTGACGCAAGCGAGAGCGTGGGTTTCTGGGAAATGTAGTTTCTGGGCCTCCGGACCACTGGTGCGCCGCCCGCCTGGGCCGGGAGCAGGACTCCAACTCCCAGCAGGATGGTGGGGCGCGAGACGGGACACAAGCAAAGGGGCGGGGCCAGCGAGAGCGAAGGAGGCGGGGCCGGGTGAGGGGCGTGGGGAGGCCCGGCGAGGGGCGGGGCTCCGGCCGCCCAGTGGCCGCCGCCTCCCGCATCTGAGGATCCCAGGCGCGCGGCCGGAAACCGCGAGGCACCTGGACGGCGGCGGGAGCCCCTGGAGCCGTCGCACGGGCGTCGGCCGCCCCCTCGGCAGGTTCCCTGCCCTCCGCCGGGACGCGGGAGGGCCCGGCGCGCGACGGGGGCGCGAGGTGGGGCTGGCGGGGGCGGCCAATGCGAAACTGGCTGGTGCTGCTGGGCCCGTGCGTGCTCGGGGCGGCGCTGCACCTCTGGCTGCGGCTGCGCTCCCCGCCGCCCGCGCGCGCCTCCGCCGAGTCCCCCGCAGGTGAGGGCCGGGCCGGGCCGGGCCGGGCCGCCGGGGGTGGGGTGGGGCGGACGCGGGGCGGGGTCCGGGTTGGGGGGACGGGCCGCACCGGGGGCCTTTTCATCCGCGGGCGGTGAAGTCGGGGAAACTTGGGGGCGCTCTGGTCTGCGCGCGTCCGGCGGCTGTCACCCCCTCCCCACCCCCCGCTTTCCTTCCTGGCCCCGGTTCCCCGCCTGCCTGGCGCGGAGCCCCGCGTGCCCTTTCGCCGCCAGCGGGTCCCTTTCTTCGGTCTCGTCGGGTCCAGACTGAGCTCTTGGTGCCGCGGGGAGTGTCTGCGCGGGGGTCCGAGGGGCCGGGCCTTGCTTTTGGGGATGGCGGCGCCGCAGGAGCGGACGGAGCTCGTGGCCTTTGCAGACTTGGTGATCTCAGCCGGAAACACGGGTGGACGCGAGCGGGAGGCGGGCGCCGGGCGGAGCGGCACCTGCGAGTCGGGCTGGCGAACTCCTTGCTAATGACACGTGGACCCCAGCTTCGCCCGGACAACGGATTCCCGCCGCGGCCGCCTCACCCCCCCTCCCTCCCGGGCAGGTCCCAGCCTCCTCCAAGAGCGTGTTGCCCCGGGCAGGTGCCCGTTGCATTGTGTGCGCTTGGACAGGTCCCGCCCTAGGTGTCCCTGCTTGTCTTCTTTCCTAAGGGCTCACCCTAGGTAGGACCTTTAAGACACCCCGAAGGCTCTTTCACAGGTTAGGTAATCCTCCTGCTTTTTTGTTTGCTTGTTTTTTAACTACGTGGGGAATTTTTATTTCTATTTTTTTATTTTATTTTTTTACCATTCTTCCCCCAAACAGCTGTTCGCTTCTCACAAAGTTTTAAACATTAGGATGGACTGTTTGCAGTTCTGAACTTATAATTGTTCATCTGCATTATTAACCGGTTAATAATCAGCATTTTTAACCGGTGAATGGTTAATTCGCATTATTAACCGGTCAATAGTTAATCAAAGAAAACACGATAATTTAAAGAGGGAACAAACATCAAAAGTTCTTTATTCAAAGTCATGTCCGTCGCCAGCTACACATTTCCCCCATCTTTCAGGTCATTTGTGGAGACCGTCGCAATAGAACTTTTCTGGTTTTGAGGCAGACCATTCAGAGACCCAATTTTCCACGTCTTCGTAGGTTTTTGAAGGGCTGCTCAGAAAGTGCGTGTGCCATCGATCAGAACAAGTGGTCATCTGAGGGAGCAATACAACAAAATAGCATACATATCAGATCGCATCTATATCAACATATGTGGAACTCCAGCAATTGAAAAAAATCCGCATTGTTAACCGGTACACCTAGTATTTGAGCCCGGCCAGCGTGGCTCAGTGGTTGAGTGTTGACCTATCAACCAGGAGGTCACGGTTGGATTCCTGGTCAAGGCACATGCCCTGTTGCTGACTCCATCCCCAGTGTGGGGGCATGCAGGAGGCAGGCAGTCAATGATTCCCTCTCATCATTGATGTTTCTATCTCTCTCTCTCTCTCCCCCTTCCTCTCTGAAATCAATACAAAATATTTTTAAAAAATAACATTGGTTTGGGATGATGCATTAGGAGGAATTTTGTAAAGGTTAGTTCAGAAAAATGATGTGACCACAAGACTTCTATGCCTAAGGCAGTGGTTCTCAACCTTCCTAATGCCGCGACCCTTTAATACAGTTCCTCATGTTGTGGTGACCCCCAACCATTAAATTATTTTCGTGGCTACTTCATAACTGTAATGTTGCTACTGTTATGAATCGTCATGTAAATATCTGCTATGCAGGATGTATTTTCATCCTTACAAATTGAACATCATTAAAGCATAGTGATTAATCACAAAACAGTATGCAGTTATATATGTGTTTTCCGATGGTCTTAGGCGACCCCTGTGAAAGGGTCGTTCAATCCCCAAAGGGTCGAGACCCATAGGTTGAGAACCACTGGAGGTATTTGGAAAAAAGCATATCCATTCAACAAATGCTTAGCCTTTTGCTGGATACAGTGTCCCTGCTCCCAAAGTACCCACAATCTGTCTAAATGAAACAGACTTGGGGCAAGTAGAGGCCGAAGACATATTGTGAGCTTGCTTTGCAATTTGCCTGGGGCTGGTTCATCCCCAATAACCCCTCTAAGCTCATCTTGTCTGTGCTTGTTTTCTTATTTATGAAATGATGACCTCATAGGGTTGTTTTTTAATGATTCAATTAGCAAAACAGCCAGAACAGTGCCCGATTCCTAGTAAACACTCCTTGAATTTTATTTTTTTAAATATATATTTTTATTGATTTCAGAGAGGAAGGGAGAGGGAGAGAGAAAAAAACATCAATGATGAGAGAAGATCATTGATCGGCTGCCTCCTGCACGCCCCCCATTGGGAATGGAGCCTGTAACCTGGGCATGTGCCCTAAACTCAGAATCGTGACCTGGTTCATAGGTTGATGCGCAACCCCTGAGCCACGCCAGCCGGACAGCACTCCCTGAATTTTAGAGAGAATGGTAGACGCGTGGTGGCGGATGCCTTTCCTAGAGCTGTTTTGGGAGGGCATGCTGGTAGTGTGTGTGATGATTGTTCTTCTCTGTAGATCTGTGATGAACTCGTATGGTTTCCCCATTTTCAAGATTTCTCCCTCCTTGCAATACATGTCACCTGAGAAGAATTTGATTTAGCGCAAGCTTCATGGTGGGGTGAAATAACAAGCATCTCTATTCCATTTCGAATTGGAGGACCTTCAGGAAACATGCCTATTGTGGAAAATAGGGCTCTACACAGAAATTCCTGTATTCCACCCTAACCGGTTTGGCTCAGTGGATAGGGCGTCGGCCTTTAGACTGAAGGGTCCCAGGTTCGATTCCAGACAAGAGCAGGTACCTTGGTTGCGGGCACATCCCCAGTAGGGGGTGTGCAGGAGGCAGCTGATAGATGTCTCTCTCATCGATGTTTCTAACTCTCTAAAAAATTAAATTAAATTAAAAAAATTTAAAAAATATTCCTGCATTCCTATCATTGTTACAATGGCATGCCCTTCAATTATCTTATTAGAAAAGTCTGTCCCCAGATTTCCTTTTTATTATTTTAACTGGCCCTTTGGAAAAATGTCAACAGGTTTTTGTTGTCTTTTGATTGAATACCTAGATCCTGGGGCAAATAAAAACATGGCACTGACTGTAGCAAAGGTCATTTATTTCTGGACACTCTGGACCAGGGCCCACCATTGGAGAAGGAGATGAAATGGATCCCTCCCAGAGCTATTTATAAGCCGTCGCTCTCCAGCTTTGAAACTGGTGACAGGAACAGGGACAGAGTAATCTTTCCCTTCTGTCTTCCTTCTAAGGACACATTTTAAAAATGTAATCCCGCCCATTGGACCTCACGACAGTGAAAAAGGAGCCATGCACAGGGCTTGTCACGTGATTTTTTTTTTTCCTAGAAACGTTGCTTCCCCACCTTCATTCTTTAGAGTAAATTAGTAAGCGATACAAGGTCTGCTGGCTGTGGGATTTATTGGTGTTAATAAGGGTGCTGGCACTTTCTCAGCTTCGTCTCCCAAACCGACACTCTAAATATTCAGGCAGGACCCCGCCTTTGAAAGCATATTCTCACTGCTGTTAGTCGCTGTTGAGAGCTTACTCTTTGCCTGGCACCACACCAGTACCTCTGTGCCCATTCTCTCATTTAAGTTACAGCTCCGTGAGAGGTGGTCTTATGCCCATTCATAGTAAGGGAAACTGAGGTTCAAGGAGTTAAGTAACTTTTATTCTTAATCCTCACCTGAGGATATTTTTCCATTGCTTTTTAGGGAGAGTGGAAGAGAGAGGGAAAGACAGAGAAACATCGATGTGAGAGAAACACATCGGTGGGTTGCCTCCTGCACAAGCCCCGACCCAGGCCCGGGAGGAGCCTGCAACGTGCCCTTGACTGAAATGGAATCCCGGACCCTTTGGTTGCGGGCAGACGCTCTATCCACTGAGCCACACCGGCCAGGGCTTGAATAGCTTTTATATGTGATGTGATGGAGCCTGGATCCTGATGGTGGCCTCACGGACTCTGCCTGCCCCCTCTGCTGTAGCTGATGCCACAGTGTCTTTCCACACCGATGCGCGTTATAAACATCTCATTTGTTTCAAAGAATTTATTTATTCCCGTGAGCATGAGCACTTACTGTGTGTGGAAGACACCAAAGTGTTAGTTATCTCTGGACAGTGGGCTTGTAGGAGCTTTAGAACTTATTTCTTCTTTGTACTTTCTTGTATTTCCTACAAACATACTTATGTTTATGTTGTAATAACGTTTTTATGTTCCTTATTACACGTCATCACTGAGACGTGGCGTTTCTGATTGATTGTTGCTTGTTTCTAGAGCCGTTGGCCCCGTTTCCCCAGGGGAAACACAGTCACTATGACGTGGTGGTTGGCGTGTTGTCCGCCCGCAGTAACCATGAGCTTCGAAGTGTGATCAGAAGCACCTGGCTGAAACATTCCCTCCAGCACCCCGCGCTCGGCCACCGGTAGGTTCTTCTGAGCCGGCGCCTGCCTGACTTAGGCAGTAAGAGGTGCAGCCTCTTTTCCGGGAGACATGGCATTGTGTTTCGCTTTTCCTCCATATCGTTGAGCCCCAAAGTCAATTTAACCAGGGTGCTAAGCCAAAAGGTAGTTGGGGAGAATATAGTCATTGGTTAACATACCTACTATTTACAGGTGCCTACTTTGTTTTGTTTTTATTTTTTTGCTTTGGTTTAGAATAGCAATTCCTTAAAATATGTGTGTATATATATATATATATATATATATATATATATTGATTTCAGAGAGGAAGAGAGAGATAGAAACTCAATGATGAGCCCTGGCCAGTTTGGCTCAGTAGATAGCTGTGTCAACCTGCTGACTGAAGGGTCCAGGGTTCGATTCCAGTCAAGGGCACATGCCCGGGTTGCCGGCTTGATCCCCAGTGGTGGGTGTGCAGGAGTCAGCTGATCAGTGATTCTCTCACATCATTGATGTTTCTCTTTCTCTTTCTCTCCCTCTCCCTTCCTCTCTGAAATCAATAAAAATATATTTAAAAAAGAAAAGAAAAGTATGGACCTATATAATTTAAAAAAACAAACCCAGAAAAACTCGATGAGGTTGCTGGTTATGTTGATAGCAGACATTTCAGAGGAAGTGGTGGATATTGAAGCTAAAATTCCTATTTTATAAATGAGCAGGAAATGAGAAACTAGAGGCTGCAATGGTAGTTCATTCCTGTGCAGAATTTCACTGTAAAGGGAAGGGTGTGGACAAGGAGGCACAGGAGGCAGATAGAAATGATGTCGGGACGTCGTCATATTTATAATGTATAGGGGAGGATGGAGCCAGGGGTTACAGGTAACCATGGTTACAGGTAACGGGTGAAGCAAGGTTGAGGAGAGGAGAGGACGCCCCTCCGGTAGAAAGGCCAGCCTGGGGCCACGGGAACACCCTCTGAGGTGGAAGAGAGCACGCGGAGAAGACACGGGGCTGGGTGTCGGGTGCAGGGGGGGAGTTGACTGTAGGTGTGCTCACCCTGGCTTCACTGTCCCTGGGGCTGGCCGGGAGCCACGTGGTGCTCAGCGCCTGTGGATGTGCTCGCTGCCTCGTTTGCTGGGCTGGAAGCTGGGCTGGAAGCGTGAAGTTAGAGTTCACGCCGATCAGATCAGCCCTGTGCCTCCACGTGAACGCTCTGAAAGGGGGAGGAAATGTGCACACGCAGGGCGAGGCCCGGTGACCGTGTTCATGCCGCCCGCCCTCAGGGTGCTGGTCAAGTTCATCATCGGCGCCCGGGGCTGCGAGGTGCCCGTGGAGGACCGGGAGGACCCCTACTCCTGCCGGCTGCTCAACATCTCGGACCCGGGTGAGCCTCCTTCCGCGGCCGGGGCGCCTCCCCGGGGCTGGCGTTAAGGACAAGTCGCTGAACGGAATAGGATAGTGTCACTTTTTAGCAGGAGAAAGTGGAGCCATGTTAATGCTTCATGTAATCTACCCAGTCATTTCTCGAAAAGTTATTTGAAGAAAGCTGTTTTGACCTTGATTAGACGGCGGCGGGGAGTAGGAAGAGCAGGGATTGGCAGTCACTCGGCCTGGGTGGGCTTCCTGGCTCTGCCCCTCTGTGACCCGGGCGATTCCTCCGTGCCTCTGGCCTCGGTTTCTTACTCTGTGAACGGGAGGCGGCACCGCACCCGCAGAGTCGCGGCACCGAGGGGCCCGGCGTGCGGGCCGTGCGCTGTGCCTGCTCCACCAGGAGTGGGAGGGGAACGCATCTCAGTTATTTTTGTCTGAAAACTGCCTGCCCTGACACGTATTTTAAATTGTCCGAGATGTAGGTTTTTTGGATTTTGCAGAGCAAGCCTCAATTTATTCATTATTTATGGCTGTAATCAGCATTGTTTCCAATATCCCTGTTTGCCCCACCTCTCCTGACAGATGCCTTTGAACTTAATATTCCCCGTGGTGTTTATACATACATATGCACACACGTGCATGCAAAACCTACTAAAGTAGCTCTGATCAATACATATTTTACTTACTTGTAACTGAAAACTTTGTTCTTAAATTTGAGAATAATTTTTTCCCTAAAAGCATCCATACTTCTGAAGCATTTAAAAGCATTGCCATTTGGGAAAGAATCACATGACAAATAATGCCCTAGGTTCTGCTGTCAGGCGGCCTGTGAGCTTCCGATGAGCTGCTGGTGTCAGACTCTCTTCTCACTGTCCCTCCTCAGTCCTGAACCAGGAGATCGAGGCGTTCACTTTCCCCGAAGACCCGCCCTCGGGCCTCTCCAAGGACCGCGTGGTCAGCGTGAGCTTCCGCGTGCTGCACCCCATCGTGATCACCAGCCTCGGGGTGCTGGGCGGCGCCAGCGACGTGGGCTTCCAGAGGAACATCACCGTCAGGCTGTACCAGGCAGAGCAGGAGGTGTGTAAGCGCCGGCCGCTTCCTCCCGGCGGGTTGGAGGCGAGACTTCCCCTCCCTCCCACCCATGGGCATGTCAGAGGGGAATGCACAGGGTCGCGCAAAATTAGTCCCACACATTGTCAAGAACGAGCGTTCGTGAAAGAAACACGCAGCCCACTCAGAGTGCCCTTAATTCTGAGCTACAGACGGTTCCTGGATGGTAAGTCGGTAGCTAAGAATGGGCAGGAGGCCTGGCTGGTGTTGCTCAGGGGTTAGTGTCGGCCCACGCTCCGAAGGGTCAAGGCTTTGATTCCCAGTCGGGCACGTTCCTGGGTTGCAGGCTCAATGCATCGGCCTGGCTGGGCGTGCGGGAGGCAACCAATCGATGTGCCTCTCTCACATCCACGTTCCTCCCTCCCTCCCTCCCTTCCACTGTCTAAAAATCAATGGAAAATATCCTCAAGTGAGGATTAACCAAAAAAGAAAAGAAAGAACAGGCATGAGAAGAGGGAAGTGTTCGTGTCTGAAACACAGTGGGAGGGGCCAAGAAGACGAGACAGAGAAGCCGTGCTCTTTGATGTTGGTTTTTTCCTCTAAAGGTTCCTTTTGGGGGCGATTCCTGAGCCCTTTGTTCCTGTAGAAATCTGTGGTCTTCCATTTGTTCTAAATCCTTTGGGGTTAAACATAGGAAGTTGTCTTACCAATACCTCACACTTCCCCTAATGCCTCTCATGCCAGGGTGGCGTTTTAAGGTGATGAAGACTCTTTTTAGTAGTTTAGAACTTAGCTACCTTTACTTATAACCATGCGGACTAGAGAACCCAGACCTGAACTACAGTGGGACAGTGCTGGTAACCAGGCGGGGCCACGGAGGACTTAGCTGGCCGTGTCAGGCATGCAGATACCATGTCAGACATGCAGATACCATGTGAGATCTGTGAGTGTCCGTGTCCAACAGGAAGTGTTTCTTGTCTCCCCCTTTGCAGGAGGCCCTCTTCGTCGCTCGCTTTAGCCCCCCGAGCTGTGGGGTGCAGGTGAACAGACTGTGGTACAAGCCCGTGGAGCAGTTCGTCTTACCAGAGGTACGGGGGGGGGGGGGGTGGGGGGCGAAGGGGGGCACCCACGCAGCCTTCGCACGCTGGGCTGGGCTTGGGGCAGGCACCGCTATTCTGTGGGTCAGGAGAGCTCTCCAGGTGCTAGGGGGTGAGGCCACAGCGGGGCCGACTGAACAGTCGAACTCTGCAGACTCCAGGGAGGAAGCCCTGCCTCCGAGCCACTCTGCAAAGCGTGACCTGTTGCCGTGGTCCCGGTGGGGAGCGGGGAGCCGTGTGGCTGTGTGAGTGACAGAGGACAGTAACGGAGTCATAGAAAGATCCGATACAGAGACCATCTGTCAGGGGCCTTGCATTCCAAACAGGTTAGTTTGACAACAGAAAAATAAACAGGAAATGTTAGCAGAACGGGGCCAGCTGGCATGGCACTGACGGTGGAAACCAGAGAGAAGTTAGGAGAATTTACCTAACTTAGGGGAGAGGAAGTAACTTCCTAAACTCAGACTTTCATAGTAATAATCACGAAGGAAAAGCTTGTCAGGCTAAGGAAGGTAAGACTTATGGACCTTTGAACTCAGTAAAAAAGAAATGGCAAACAATTCTGAAAATTATTTTCAGCATATAAAAATACACAAGATTATCTGTTAAAAGCTCATACAGATTAATAAGAAAAATATAAAATTCAGTAGCTAAATGGCAAAGAAGCAAGACAAAGCAATGCCCAGAAAAGACTATATGATTCATATACTTTACTAGAAATCCACGAAGCACAGGAATCGTTTTTAATGTAACAAATTAGCTTAAGCTTAAGCTTTCTTTCACCAATATCTCATACTGGCACATCCATAAGTTGCTAACGACCTTGTAAATTAGTATAATTTGCATTTGAATTTTGCAGTTTGCACTGTGTACCAAAATCCATATAAAATCTGTCTGTTTCTGATCCCAGTAATTTCATTTCTGGGAACTTGTTTTAAATAAAACACAAAAGTTTGACACCAAAACATGCCTCACGTGATTGACGGTGATACTCGTGGGGCCCAGATGTCTGAGGGCGGGAGATGCTTGAGGAACCGGCATCCGCTCAGCACGTTCCCATGGGCGTGGGAGGAGCCTGAGGGCCTGCTTTGGACTTGGGGCGGGGAATGACTGCAGTGGCTGAAGATGGTCTACGTCCTCTTGTTGTCTTTTGGATGCGTATTTGAAAAACAGACTCAAGGGTACACACCAAAACGTTAACACTTGTGTGCTCGTTGTGGGATAAAAGTGTTAACCAGTGTTTCTTAGGAAAAAAACAACAAAAACCTTACCACCTAAATGACAACCATAAAGAAATGCCTCGCTTTTTCTCTTTCACAAAAGAGCTTTGAAGGTACAGTCGTGTGGGAGAGCCAAGACCTGCACGGCCTGGTGTCCACAGATCTCCACGGCGTGGCCATCAATGACGGGGGCGGAGTCCTCAGGGTCACCACGGTGAGTCGGTCCTGGGGTCAGTTGTCACACGTCCGTCAACATTTTTAATACGTGAAGGTGGTTTTAAGTTTATTTTTACACCAGCCCAGACAACATGGAATAACCAGTCTGTGGTTTAGAATACGTAGAAAATGTTGTGTAGTCATAGAGGAAAGATGAAAAACTCCGCTGTTCTCTGGTTCTGTCACTCCACACCCCGCGCATCCCACACCCAGAGCCGGGAGCGGGGGAGCTGGGAGCCGGGAGTGAGAGAGCCGGGAGCGAGGGAGCCGGGAGCCGGGAGTGAGAGCCGCCTGCTGAGAGGGGCGGGAGGCTGTTCAGAAAGACCTGACTGCGGTGGGATTGTGAGGCTGTGTCCGCTGCGCAGGCCTGACCCCGGCTGTGTGATGAGTGGCAGGGCGGGCGCTGTGGTCACCCGTGGTGAGGCCCCCGGGCCTGCAGCTGGCGGGGAGCTGCGCGGGTCTCTGGTCCTGGCAGTCAGCGTTCACACGCGAGGGGTGTCATTTGATGAGGAGGCGCTGAGCGCTGCACTCGTGTCTTCCAGGCCGGGGAGGGTGCGTGGCCTCCTGAGCTCGCGGAAGGTGCGGAGGGCGTGGCCGGCGGCTTCATTTACACGATCCAGGGTGAGTGGGCCGGTGGCAAGTCGGAAAGTACCGTCCCATGCTTTTCTCCCGTCTGCTACGGTCGTACATCTTTAAGTAAAACGTACTTTTGATGAGAACATTTTGTAATTGATATTGATGGCATTTTATTGCATCTGTCAGTTAGCAACGTATTCTTCTCAGCATTATTTTTCAGTGCCGTTGCCCTTTACACACAAGATCAGGCTGATTTTTAAACTGCTGTGTCCCACTGTGTGATGCCACAGCTTAGCCATCCGGGGTCGGTGATGCGGCCTGGGGTTGGCGCCGTCTTCCCATTACACACAGGGCTGCAGTGAGCAGCCATGCGACCCCGTAAATTACCGTCTGCAGGGACTTGTCCGTGTGCGCACCTCAGCCTAGGTGCTGCTGTCCCTCCCCCGCAGGCGCGTCCATTCACCCTGAGCGTCCATTTCCCTGCGTCCATCCTCCCGACCACCGCCCCCTGTCCGTTGCCTCGGGCACAGAGTGTAGGGCACAGCAGGGCACGGTCTGGCCCTGTGTGGCAGCATTTTCTCCAGCTCTCGGCTTTTCCTTCTAGAAGGTGATGCCCTCTTACAAAACCTCCACTCTCGCCCCGGCCGGCGCGCTGCCCACCTGAGGAGCCTCCGCGAGGAGGACGCCTTGCTGCAGGAGGAGAGCAGCCGCCACGGCGATATTGTCTTCGTGGACGTCGTCGACACCTACCGGAACGTCCCCGCGAAGCTGCTCAACTTCTATAAGTGGTGGGTCGTCAGTGCCGGTGGCTACAATTTGTTTTCGTGTCCTTTGGTGGAGAAACAGCTTCTCAAACCATCACACCCCAGATTTTTAAGAAACAAACCAGCCCGCGGCCCCTGCACAGTGGGCCCCGGTCTGTCGCGTCCTGGTTCCCGGGAGGAGGGGCTGGTGAACGCTGCTGCTTCGCCCTCAGGCTCGCACGCCGCAGCGCAAACCACGGTGCTCTGTCCGGGACACGCAGGCAGAGCTGATTGATTGCAAGTGAGTCAGTCCTTCCTCGAGTCACTTCCATGTTGTCTCAAGCCAACGTCAGACGAAAAACAGTGAGCTTGAAAGTGGCCCATTTTCATACCTGTCTCCCTAAATCTTACCCCTAGTATATCCCTTGTACCCAGGTTACCAGCTGAGTTCTGTCCAACGGAACACCTACATTATATTCCCCTTCTCTACCCATTTGAAAATGACTTGCCCTAATTTCAAAACTTACATAAAATGAAATTCAGCAACCCTCAGAGTCTGTCATATTTATCACTTCCCGAGCCTCCCGTATTTCTGGGGTCTTAGATGGCATTCCTGCCTTTATAATGATAATAGCAACAATAACAGTAACTGTTCCACATACTGTTGTTAATATTAGTCCCTCCAGCGGCCCATCATTTGCTGTTGAGCCCCTGGATACTGTCTGCCCTGACGAGGACTGAACCTTCTAGCCGCAGCGGTCTAGACCAAATCTGTCAGAGTGCTCACACCTTTGTCTTTCCTTTCAAAACTCCATCAGCGAGTGTGTTTTCCTGGGGAGCCCCGTCTGGCCCTGCTTCTCTGCTGCCTGGCACAGTGGGAAATTGTCCCGCATCTGTGGGTGTGGGACCGGTCCTGAGGCTAGTTTATGGGAGGGATGTTTCCGATCCAGGACAAGCGAATGGAACTGAGTCGTCCTGTGGGCAGAGGGCAGATACAGATAAGACTGGAGGTGGGTGTGACTGGACACCAGGATGGAGTGGGACAGCGACTGTAGCCCAGGCCGCCAGCGGGCCTTCCTGTTGTCAGTGGGGCCGAGGCAGGGATGTGAGTGAAGGGGTGCCGGGGGAATGGAGGCCCAGGAACTGGACAAGTGCGCGGCCGTGGGGGAGCTTTAGTGAAATGGGAGCAGTGTGACGCCTCGGCTGCTGTTTCCTCGTGTGGGCGCCCTGACCTACGTCCCCTTTTCGCCACCAGGACCGTGGAAGCCACCAGCTTTGATTTGTTGCTGAAGACAGACGACGACTGCTACATAGACCTGGAAGCCGTGTTCACCAGGATCGCCCACAGGACCCTGCAGGGCCCGAGTGTCTGGTGGGGAAAGTAAGTTCAGCTTGTGAGCCCAGGGCGTTTGTGTGCCTGAGCTACGGCCATTCCCTTAGGATGAAATGACTTCTCTTCATAAGAAGCCGTGGCCGAGATAGGGAGTCACCCTATGGGCTCCTGGGTTACTGTATGTTATTCATCTGTGACTAGAGGACAAACTTTAAAGTGAAAAACCTCCAGCTGATGTAACGAAGGCGAGAAAGTGACTTGGCTCTGCCCTCAGATGAGCAGCTGCTGCGTATTAGATGTTAGAACGTTTGTTCCCTTTCTGAAGCCTCGTTCTTCAGGAATACAAGATGGGTCAGTGGATTTCTTAAGCAAATACACACACGACGAGCTGGTACTTTCCATTCAGGAACTACACATGCAACTTTGGGAGAATTTGAGTATATTGGTTTCATATAAAATACCCTACGTAGGTAATTCCTTTCTCAGACTAAACAAAGTCTCCATGCTGCTGCCCTCGCTTCTGTTCCTGGTGGTGACGGGAAGCGTGAGGCAAGCAGAACGTGGTGGGACGTGTGTCAGGCACACAGGAGGCAGCTCACTCGGTGTCAATCTCAGTTTCAGGCTGAACTGGGCCGTGGACCGGACGGGGAAGTGGCAGGAGCTGGAGTACCCGAGCCCTGCGTACCCTGCCTTTGCCTGCGGCTCGGGGTACGTGGTCTCCCGGGACATCGTCCACTGGCTGGCCAGCAACGCGGACAGGCTGAAGACCTACCAGGTGGGGAGTGAAGGGTTTCTGCCTAAGGGGGCACCAGCCAGCCAGCTTGCCAGCCCCGTGGGAAGAGCATGTTCTTTCTGTGAGAATCACTCGTTAGGGACACACTCCTGTCCCCAAATGTGGCGCTAAGTTCTACTCCTGGCCCTTTTTGAGCCTTATTATACTTTCTGCCTATGTTTACTGGTCGCTGGAGGAGTAGAGATTTATATTCCGAAGGAAGAGGACGAGTGCTGCTTCCGTTCGGGTGACACTGGACCGTGTCACCAACAGCGCTGCCCAGTGACTCCGTCCAGTGTGTTTCCTGCCATCAGTGCTGGAGCGTTGGGGCCGTGAGAGCCTTGGGTCCCTTGTAGGATGTGCTGTCTTCATGTAAACAGCCACCAGCTTTCACTCCATGTCCGTGTTCACATGCCAGGGTTTCGTGTTAGATGACAAAACAAAGAGGCAGAAAGATAATTTATTGCCCATTGAGTAGGTGTGGCTGTCTGTACAGATGGGAGAGCATTTAACCCTTTGATGCGTGTCCAGGGTGAAGATGTGAGCATGGGCATATGGATGGCGGCCATAGGACCTAAGAGATACCAGGTAAGCGGGCGTCGGTGGGGCTGGAGAGCCGAGGTGGGGGGCTGTGTCGCACCTCGGGCGGGAGCAGTGGATAGAAGGTCTCCTCGCGTCGTTGTTGTGCACGTGACTGGATTCACAGTGATCCGCCTGGGTTCCCAGGCAGCGTGTTTCTGAGTAAAACGATAAGGAAATGTTGTGAATGGAAGTTCTGCCCGCAAAGAAGAATTGGGTTTTTATCAGAAATTCTTTGCAGCTTTAACACTTAAAGAATCAGCCGACATGAGTTCCCAGCAGTGTGGTGGGCTGACTGATGCAGAGGGCACGCCGGGTGGAACATGGTCAGGCCTCTTGTAAGAATCACTGGTCACCGAGCTAGAAAAACAAAAACCATCTGCACAGACCAGACGTGCAGGACAGAGCCCAGAGCCCCGGAGAGCAGCCAGCCGGCCTCTGCCGCCCGATTTCTGTTGGAGTCCGGATTCTTGCAGCTCTGCTTTGGCCATAGGAGGTGCCTGGGGCCGAGCGCGCCCCCCATTTCAGGGGGCGGAAGTGAACCCAGTCGGCTGGTTCAGCTTCAGTCGTCCACCGCTCTGTCGCTGTCGCAGTGCCATCCCTGGTGGCATCTGCTCTGGTTCTGTGTGCGGGCGGCTGTGGCTGTGGCTCCTGCAGACTGGTTTTGGCGCTTGTTTCCTGAGTGTTCTGCACTGGTTCTCAACCTTCTGGCCCTTTAAAACAGTTCCTCATATTGTGACCCAACCATAAAGTTATTTTTGTTGCTACTTCATAACTGTAATGTTGCTACTGTTATGAATCGTAAAGTAAATAACCTGATATGCAGGACGGTCTTGGGCGACCCCTGTGAAAGGGTCCTTCGACCGCCAAAGGGGTCACGACCCACAGGCTGAGAACCGCTGGTTTAGAGGCTCTTGTTCTGTGGCCTCCTGCTCCTTGGGAGCTGGGGTCTGGATGTGAAACGCTTCCCCACGGAGAGAGGATCCGCACCCTGTGCTGCCACGCGGGGCATCGCCGTCCGTGAGCGTTCAGTTCCCACGGGGACTCCTGGGCTCCGCAGACGGGCTCCAGGCTCCTCCCGACAGCTGTTTTCTTAGTGCCCCAGGCTCTGGCCGCTCAGGGTCCTGCCTGGCTGTGGGATCCCGTCAGCCCCCTGGCCCTGGAGTCTCAGGCCTTTAATGCAGCAGCTGCGCATGGCACAGGCGTGGCCAGCCTTGCAGGGCCAGGCCACCCTGTAAGCTGTGGGCCAGCTCTGTGGTGGTCCCGGCTTGAACGGTGGCTCTGGGCCGCATCCGGCTCTACCGTGGGCGCAGGCTGGTCCCCAGCCCCTCCTGCTCTGCACAGCTTCCCTGTGACCTTGAGCAGCCCCTCTCCCAGTTCCAGGTTCTCATTTGTGAAAGTGTCTGCCTCACAGGGTTAGTGTGAGGACTAAGTCAGGGAACATTTATAAAGCACTTGGTACGACCCTGGGACAGGGTCGCCTCCCGTCAGAACAGCCGTGGGAGTCCACCGCTGTGCAGCCATCAGCTCTGATGGCACATGTGAAACTTCCCATTTGCGGCTTCCAGACCCTTCTTCCCAGGACCCCCCTTAGTGCCGCACTGGGTCTGCCTTCCACAGCCACAGTCGCCCCAGAGCCCGAGTGGTTGTCTCTGCAGTGAGGTCAGCTTCCCTGGGAGAGTCGAGCCTGTGCTCGAGCCCTGTCTGTCCTCAAGCGCTGACATCCGTCCCGTCGGCTTTGTTTCCCGCAGGACAGCCTGTGGCTGTGCGAGAAGACCTGTGAAACGGGGATGCTGTCCTCCCCGCAGTACTCCCCGCGGGAGCTCGCGGACCTGTGGAGGCTGAAGGAGCTGTGCGGCGACCCTTGTCAGTGCGAGGCCAGATGAGGGCCTCGCGGGGAGGGGCTGGGCGTCTGCGGGAACTGAGAGCAGGTGCGGCCGGATGCGTGCTGAGTGCTCCCTCGGGAGCTCCAGGCGGGCTCTCCTGGACCCTCGTTGTGTCACTTCATGTTCGCAGTTTCCTCTTTAAGAATCAACCCTGATGCTGTAGCATAACAGAAACTGTATTTATGTATCGGGAGATTTGAAAAATACCAAATAGTTTATAAGTCCTGATGCATCGTTTCTAGTTAGCATTCACTAGCTATCATTTTTGGTTAAAAGTCGGCTTGTTCAGAAATCTTGAGTGACTGAGAGTTGGACTTTCAGCCTGGATTGCAGAATAGCTTCGTCTCGCACGATTAGGACAATTATATGGGCCGAAAAACTCACCGAAATGCTGTGCGATGCTGTGGTCGCTCTGAGCAGGAGTCACTTGTACCAAAGTGTGGGTTTCTGGAAATAACATCGCTTTCTGTGGATGTCTGAGCAAAGGGGGCAACTTAGACCTGGGGAAGAGCCCGATGAATTCTCAGGTCTGGACCTTGGTTTTAAAGTTCATTTATCATTAATGGACAAATGCACAGTTTTTTTTGCCATTTCACACAAATCCTGGGAGTCACAGTTTAGTACTCCTATTAAAAATGCGACATTTTTGTGAATATAAGTAAAATCAAATATTCTCAGGGTTTTAGTGCCAGAGGGAAGGATATTTTTAAATAGTTGACACTTTGAAAGAATTATGCTTTCCTGCTGTCATTGCCTAAAGTTTACCTAATATGAGTGAGATTTGATCAGTGCTGGGAATCGTTTACAGCAGAAGATAGGCTCCTATAGGGGTAACTGCGAGAGGAAGCATGTAACTAACTTTGAGAAGTGCTCTTACTCTGAGCACTGCGGTCGAGCAGAGTGATCGTAGCATGTCTGCTGTACACAGTGGAGGGTGTGCCCCTAAGTTTAAGGGACATTTCCCTAAATGACCAACCAAATCACTTTAGTAGCCTTTTAAACCAGTAGTATCAATAGAGGATTCCATTAAACTGGTCTTATGACAGACATGAACTGTGTTCAGATTTTATTAGACTAGCTAGGTTCTATTTAGTATTGGGATCTCCACATAATGAAATGCAGTCACGAACTATAAATATGAAATAAAATCAGAAAATCATTAGTTGGTACAAAGCCTTTATTGTCGCTATTATGTACAAGCCTAGAAACAGTCTCTTCCCTAAAGAAAGTACAGCCTCTGAGAGAACTGCTCCCGCAGGTCATTTCTTGCCGGTGGGCCCGGAACCACAGTCGTCTCTGAGCTGTGTGAGCTGCTGTCACCATCGCACCAGCAGGCAGTCTCCATTCTCCACAGAGTAGAACTGTAAGGACTGCTGGTCATTTTCTAGTTCAATCTCTCTGCCCGGCATCTAAAGTCAGAACAAAGGCTTGGGTGACTCAGACAGACCTGCCAGAGCGAATCACATGCCCCGCCCCAAGCCCGCGGAGTCAGCCCTGGAGGCTCAGTTGCACAGCTGCCACTGCTGTGGCCGGGCTGGCGGCTCCGGGCAGCTCACCTTGGGGCTCTCGTAGGCCAGCAGCAGGTCCGACACAGGGACCTTGAGGAGGCGGGACAGCAGCCCTTTCACCTTCTGAATCGTCATGGAGTCTGTCAAAGAGAAGCCCCCCGTGCTCTCAGGTGACAGTCACCTGTCACAGGCGGTCAGTGCAGGACCGCAGGTCCAGTGGCAGCTGAACTGTCACCTCAGAGGCCGGGGAGCAGACCCGGTCTGAGCACTCAGAGCCTGTGCTCGGCCCGCGTGCCCTGGTCAGCGAGTTTTCACACTGTTCGGTGGCGTCTAATCCTCCCTCCCTCATCCCAGTCACCAGAAGTCAGGTTCTCTGCAGAGGATGATGTGAGGAAAATCATTAACTTCTCCTTTCAGTCTCTGTGGTTGTGATGCCCTAACTACAGACACTGCGGGGCCTCTGGAGGGAGGGGTGCCTACATGGTCTGCCGGGCCCTCCCCGCAGGCGGCCGGCAGTCACCACAGCGGGTCCCTGTGCTGGACACACGTACAGTGCCCACCAGGCCTGGGACGCAGCCTCAGGAGTAAACGCTTCGGTTTGTTCAAAAAACACTATGTATGAACTTTTCTCCAAAGATAGTTGTGGTAAATATTGGCTATTTTGATGAGAAACACAGTTTCTTTGAAGCTTTAGCTGGAGGTACAGCAATAGTGTGGTGTTCCTACAAATATCACATGGATTCAAATATTTTTCTATCAAAAACCATTTTTGTAAAGGCTGTCTGTTTTTATGCAACTTGTGATAATAAATGTTCTTTATTTTAGAAAAAAATACCTTAAGTGTATGTATTGAATGGCCGACAGACATTTATCATTTTAATCAGCATAATTTGCTCAGGTAACCGCGGCCTTTCGGAAACTCTAGGTGGACTGGCTTCACAGTTTGGGGTGGTCGCGAGCTGACCAGCCGCGGGCCTGGGAGAGGCCCCCTGGGGCTGCGCACCAGCTGTGCCTTTGCTAACCGTGTGAGCACACAAAGGGCTTCCTGTCCACACAGGGTCCTCCAGATGGGCGTTCGGGGAGTGAGAGGAGCGGGGTCGCCTGTCTTAGAGCGAGAAGAGCTAGTGACAACTGGTAAGCTCTGCGCGAGACGCAGACGCAGGAGGGCGGAGGCTCATCCTCTTACCCGGCAGCTGTTTCTCCAGGGCTTTCTGGTCGGGACGGTCAGGACAGTTTATCTTCAGGGCTGGAGGGAAACCAGGACAGACTAGTTGAGACCGGCTGCAAGAAGGACTTAAACGGCACCTGAACGTTAAGGGCATTGCCAAGTGACGCAGCTGCTGGTACAGCCCGGCTCAGACCCTAACAGGTCTTGCTTTCCCTTCCCCTTCAGTACTTCCTTCCTGGCAAGTTCACTAGGTTTTCAAGTGCAAGATAAGTCACACATTTCCAAATCACAATTCAGCTCACTGTTGAAATACTCCCCACATCTATAACACTATTAAATGGGCCAAAAGCAGTGAATTGCTAAAATGTTCAGTATAGGAATTTACATGTGTTTGAGAATTTATCATTTCTTTAAAAACCAATGTACTCAGGCACTTGAGAGAAACCATCTCCATTAGGCTATCACTCTGTCTCGGCGCCTAAGGACTTGAACACAAAGAAGCTGTCTTTGAATTTGGGGTTCTTACTTAGTAGCTGGTTTTTGAGCAAAAATGGTTGTTGCGTTTTGAGCTCCCCATCTTCAGGTGCACCGTATTCTATTTAAGAAATAAAAAACGATGAATGGTAATCCACAGGCCACTGTAAGGGAAAAAACGTCAGGTAAGTGTCCACACAGGACCAGCCCAGCAGCAGCTGGTCCGCTAACTGGATCCACTCCCTGTGGACCCTCCCGCCCTCCGTATGACATCACTGTCCTCAGGGACAGGCAGTGTCCTGACAGACTAGCAAGACGAGGCTGTGCTTCCAAACACTTGAGGCGTTTGCTCCAAATGTCACCCTGCTAACGTTTCTGAACCTGAGAGGGAGCTCGTGCTATTTGGGACACAACTCACAGGACACCTTCACCCAGTTCCAGCCAGATTTAGCCATGCAGGGCGGGCCCTCGGAACCACCCGCCAACCAGGCCCCGTGGGAACGCAGCCTCAATCTGGCACGAGGTGTAAGGACAGCAGCACTGACGCGCCAACTTGTGCTGGGCCCTCGGTGTGAAGGCTGAGCCGTACCTGCAGGGCTGCTCACCTTCTCGCCCACCCCCACCCCCAAGTGACTGAATTCACCGAAAGCAGCCAGGAAAGTGGGCCAGCTAGGGGAGTCCTGTGAAAGCAGTTCCCACAGGCAGCTTTTCTTCCTCAGAGAGAGCCAGCCTGAAGCACTAAAGCAGCAAGCTCACATTCGGAAATGTGTAAAAAGGAAGTCACATGACAGTGACATTTGGAATAGTAATGAAGTCCAATCAAAGCGGAAAGGAGCCAGGGACAGAGGCCTGAGGTGGCAGCTCCGGGCTGGAGTGTGAGGGAGCACCTGGCACAGCGTCTGTAAGCCGCCTTCCATCGGCCTGGAGGCCAAGGGGGCGCTGAAGTGCCAGTGCCTAACGTCCACCTTCAGACGCTCCCATTTTTACCCCCCCTGGGTGAACCGGGCGCCGGCCCTGGGTCCGAGCGGTGCCGACACGTAAAGATGACCCACACCCCAGGTTCCTCCTGCTGTCTGTCCTCTAAAGACAGTTAAGATCTGGTCCCATCTTGCCGAAGTCGCCCCAGGGAAACACCCAGCACCCACTTAATGAAACAACAGCCTGGGAGAGAAGCCACAGCCTGTGGCCCCGCAGACCCCCGGGAAGGCGGGTGTGGGTACGCACTGCGGCAGAGGGCTTGGTATCTGGGGTGGGCGGCCAGGAACGCCTCGCTGGGCCTGTCCTGGTCGGGATCCTGGTGCCCACCCGCCTCTTTCCACTCCTTCCCGAACGCCTTCCGGTAATCCAGCTCGGCCCCGCGCCGCTCCTCCGGGCGGATCTGCGTGGAGAAGTGCCAACAGGTCTAATGAGTGTGTGTTGTGCCCTATTCTTCCTCACTGCCCACCCAGAGATCATCTAACTGATAGGTACAAGGTAATAATTATATTTTTACCCTTTTTAACATTGACAGTTCAGGAATTTATTCAAAAAGGAAATCCCGTTTCCTACTTTTCTTCATGAGAGTATTGGCCCACGAGCTGGTTTCTGGACTAGGCCAGGTGCCTGAGGGCCCTCAGGGGTGGGGAGCCCACCGGGGGGGCGCACATGCCCAGGCAGCGGCTCCAAAAGGCACTGCCTACCCGTTTACAAGGAGGGTCAACAGGCTCCTGGTTCTGTCTTCTTTCTGCCTCCATCCCCCCGCGCCCCCCAAACCCCCAAGGAAAAGGAGGAAGAACCCGGTGTCCCTCACCCTTCTTGGGTGATAATGAATCGACCGGGTGACAGGTCACTGCTCAGTCTGATCCCTGTCACTAAAACGCACAGGAGGCCCTTTACCTCTAAAGGACAACCACGTCTGACGCCCTCCGCAATATTCAAATACAGTGTCTTTTGCATTTTCTGTAACTTGTTTTCTAGCCTCGAAGACCCCAGCTGTGGCGCCCACCTCGCATCTGTTGAGGGTCCGCAGCTGGCCGATCTTGGCGATGATGAACTGCAGGTGGGTCTTGGCCTCGCTGCCCACCGTCAGGGGGTTCCGTAGGCAGGACAGCGAGTGCAGACTCTGCAGCTTATCCAGCTCGTTGATGAAGGACCACTGACACCCAAAAAAGGAAATACACGTTTCAGGCTCACTTTCCAGATGATGTGAACGAGCAACAGAAAAGCAACGTTATTGGTGGATCTGAGGGCCAGGATTTCATCCACCGAGCACTTTGGGCCAAGGAGAAAGTCTGCTTCACTAGTTAAACTGATTCCTTCCTTAATATTTTGGGGTTTACATGAGGCATTTCACTCTGAGGAAGCATTTCTCAGAACCTTTAAAGTGTTTTTCATCGAAGGAACCTACAAGCGGGTGTGAGGGTGAGGCGCGGCCCCAGGGCTCGGCACCCTGGAGAGGCTTACCTGCGATATCCGATTGTCATCGAGGACAAGGGACTGCAAGGAAGGGAACATTGCCGTTTTGCACCCTGGGAAAAGGAGAGGCAGGTCACACGGCAGAAGTGCAAGCAGCAGCTGAAGCATGGAGGACGGGAGGGGAATGGAATAATCTCACATACCAACCCCAGCATCCGGGAAATGGAGAGAAGAAATCCCAACGTCACCAAGGATTAGTCGTTCTAATCTGAAGTTACAAATGTTCGGTTTGATTGCACGGAACCATACAATTGCTGAGGGCTATCAGCCAGACTAGATCTGTAATTTTTTTGCTACACCTTAGGTTTTCATCCCAGGTAAACGCTTAGAAACCATGCAGTCCAACTCAGGGCACGCACTGGACCCGTGCACTAAAAGTTTGCTGTGCACTAATGTAACCGGCATTTTAGGAGCCATTACCTGGGCAGATAGGCTATTAGAAATAGCTGGTTTTCATCAATTGACTGATTAGAGGAAAGGTCTAGTAACCGGACCAACTGGAGAACGTCAGCCGGCCTGCACGGAAAAGAGAATTTTTTCAATGTGAATTTAGTATCTTGTTTTCAAACACATAACCTTAAAATACCTACATTTGCTATTAAGGAAGGTTGGGGGCAACATATTTAATTCAGGGCTTTCCCCCAGTGGGGTTTTCCTCAATTAGTGGTGAAGTTTGAGCTGACATTCTAATTTGTGAAGGCAATGAGTATTTTTCTAATTCTTACTTGCAAATCCTTCTGAAAATTAACATGTAATTGAGACTATTTATTCAGGGTGAGTAGATAGTGACAGGCAGTTACGTGAACCTTGTTACCTTTCTGAAATGGAAATGTTGTTGGACTTGAGGTACAGCTCCTCGAGGGCTGGCCACCCCTGGGCACAGTGGAGCACCTGGGAGGGAAAGAAACGCAGTTCAGGGGGCGCGCCCTCTGCTGGTTGTTCCCCGTGTTTGTCACTAAAACCTGCATATGAATCCCACTGAGTTTTAGAAACAAAGGGCCTTACAAGACAGTTCATTAAAGACGAGTTCAGGCCAGATTGACATGGTAATGGCCGCGTTGTGAGGATAGGGACCTGCCTTTCGGCACTGAACCACCCAGTGAGGATCGGTGCGTCCTGCAGCCATACCCGGACGGGGACCGAGGCACCTACAACCTGCACTAACGCGGCACATTGCTACCTGCTTCCCCAAAGGAAGGGGTGACTGGAACACTTTCCTCAATTATCGACGCCAATCGGATTTGTAGAGAATATGCTGATCAGTCAAGATTTCTCTATGACGGCTCCTAAGGCCTCACTTGCACCTCCTGCCCTCTCCCCACTGGCATTTCCATGGGCCCCTCCGGGCCTGATGCTAAATCTAAACCTGGAGAGGGGGGCACAGGAAGGAGCCCAGGAAAGGATTCGGTGGCTGTGGCCCCAAGTTCAAGACGACATCGCTGAGGGAGGCGCCTCGGTGGCACTTCACAGGTGAACTCACTGGGGTGTCCCCTGCCTGTGTCTGACAGTGGACTGTTGTGGACGTGTGAAGGCAGCTGACCCGACAGAAAAGAGCGGTACCAAGCACTAGGCGGGCGGGCCCTGGAGCCGTCCCAGGGATGCCCAGTGAGCAGCGATCCCAGAGCTGAGCTGAAGGGCTGCGAGGACTTCCAGCCGCGGGCCCACCCTGAGAACCCCTGTGGGACACCAGGCGCTGGAGCTCAGCCAGCGGCCACTCTGCGCTCTGAAAGCTGAGTGC